GCTTGGTACTTCTCAATGCTCTATAGGCATAGGCTGGGTCCAAGTTGATAACTCTACAACTACTTATTCATTTTAGGTACAAGTTAAACTTTGGCTATACTTTTTTAAAGCTGAAATTTTTGCTATCCTTTTAGCAATTATTACTGCTTCTAGAAACTGTTCTGTTCATATCTTTACTAACCTACAATCTGTAATCTCCAGTATCTGCTTATTAGCTTCTAAACTTTCTTATACTTATATATCATACTTTTCTATTTAGCAAACTTTTATCAACTTTATTAACTCATACAATATTTAGCTTACTTTTCACAAAGTTACTGTACACCAAGATGACCCATTCAATAATCTTTCTGACCAGCTTGCTCATAGTTATCAAATACTATTTTTCTTAATATTTCTAAGTAACAACCCTAATAACTCTGTATATATTCTATTTATTGACCAATTTTTTATTGAAATTTTTATTTAATGCTCTATCTATACTATCTGTTAAGTTCATATTATAACACTTTGGATATTCCAATATTATTTTCAACAATGGTCTACTATTGCATCTAATATTAACTAGAAAGCCACTTGGCTTTACATTAATAACAATCAGAAAGTCTTTAACTTTGCTCATAGTTTTTATTCCTCTACTCTAAAAACCTTTCATGTTAAAATCCTCTTAGATAAACTACTTATTCTTCATACTCTTTACAAATATAACTCTTTTTACTCTTCTTTCTGTCACTAATGCAACCAAACTAGTTTCTTACTACATTGGACTCTTTGTCCTTCCATTCAAACAATTTACTATTTAATTTTTAATTCTCTTAACTGTATCTTAAATGCCACTGTCCTTGACATGTCTACTAATTCTGTTTCTAATTTATATCAAAAAATTCTTACATTTAACAGTTTTAAACTACACAACTTTTCTCATATACTATCTTTTATTTCTATTTTATCTGGCTTAGTCCCTATCAACCTTGTTTCTATTATTTATAATACTTTTATTTCTTATTATATAGCTATCTCTCTTTCTATTAAATTTCTTCTTTATCTAAACCAACAAATATATAAACAATTATGGATTCAATATTGTATTTTATGTTCAGCACAGTTTTCAATTATATCTTCAATAAACTCACCTTATAATTTTCTTTCTAGTCTATCATTACCTCCTATCTCAATACTACAAATTATTACTAAAATTGATCTTTGGACTATCGAATGGATTAAATATCATACTCCTCTCTCATATATTATTACTAATGCCCAAATCTAGGTGAGCCTTGGCCACTCTTATAGGCTTAGATCACAGATTATATGTCTAAGTTATTATTCTTTATATGTAATTTAAAAGCAAGCTTTTTTTTGTAAAAACTTCAATTGAATTTTAATAAAGTTAAAGACATAACCTTACTATTAATATTAAAAAAAAAAATACTTTAAAGATGTTTTTATAATACAAGAGAATTGCATATGCAAAGAGTTTAAATAGGCAAAACCTATAGTTAGTTTACAGATATGACATCTAATATAGAACTAGTATAGTAATATATAGATGAACTACTTAAATTAAACACCAAAAGTATACATATAACTAGTTGTAATCTCTAATATAAAAGAGCCTTTAAAGGCATTTATGTTTTACAAAAACTTAAATAAAATATTATTTTCTAAAGATAAAGAGTTTTTAAAAATATATATATATATTATTTCTAAATATTTTATAAAATAACTTATTAAAATCTCTAATTTTAATAATTTTATACAACAAATCATATTTAAAATATTAAATTTAGAAGTATAACAACTTAGTAAAGTAGATAAGTTGTTAACTTTCTAAGTAGTAGGTTCAGTGTTCAAAACTTATTTACAGTAAAAATTTAAACCATTATTTATATAATATTTGTATTATAGTAACTATTTCTAATAATTAAATTAAGATATCTGTATTTAAAGTTATACTAACATAACTAACAGGTCATAAAGCATTTGTATAATTGGTTATATAGAAAGGTGCAAACTGGCATTAGGCAATACAAACCCAAGATAAGTTCTTGTAACTATATAAATTGTAAAAATTAAAAACAATAAACCTATTTAAGAAGATCTAAGTAAAGAAGTAACACAGTTCTTTAACAGTACTACTATAAAAGCTAAACTTCTAAAAACAGATCCTAATATCTAAATATCTAGATAGAAAAAACTTTTAAATAAAAAGTACTACTAATTAGACTACTGAAATTATTAAAAGAAAACAATATTAAACTATTCTAAAATACAAAAAAACAGGCTGCAATTCTATCAAACTATCTAAATTGAAAGTTTAGAGAAAAAACAAGAATATACTAAAGTACTAGAGGTATATTATAAAAAAGATACTAAAATTTAAATAAACTTTACAAAAACAAAACAGTTTAATAACTAACACTAATTACAAATATTGGTTTTGTTATAATAATACTAGGTTAGTTATAAAAATAAAAACAGAAAACTTTAGAAGATTTAACTTAAAAATAAAATAGTTCTAAAGTTAAAATAATAACCTAAGTATGATCTAGTAATATTAATACAGGTTGCAAGTTCAGAGGATTTAAAATAAAATATCTAAGCAGAGATGTTAGATATGACAATTGGTAAAAAAAACCATTAAGTAGACTCTTTAAATAAGTAATATAAAAAAATTATATATATAACTAATTGTACACTTATCTAGTAATAATTTCTTACTAAACACATTATTAAAAAAAAAGTGTTAATAAAAGATAAAAAACCTAAAAAAAAATATTAAATTTGCAAATTAAATACAGTTTAATCTTTTTAAAATAGCATTATTTAAAATAAAAATTTATATAATTATAAAAAAATTTTATTAAAAATGCTTATAAAAGTTTTTTATGTAAAAACATTATAGAAGCTAAAATTTTTGCAAATCATTACTTATAGAAATGAATCTGATTAGTTAAATATTTAATAATTAGAAAAATAAATTTAATTAGTTAAATTTTTATTATCAAAATTAATTTTTTTATTATAGAGCTAAAATTTTTTAAAATAATAGTAATTAAAATAAAATAACTTAATAATAAATAAATTTTTGTAAAAAATTTTCTAGATATATTTTTTTAAGCATAAAGAATAAATTTATAGAAGGTTCTTTTAAATATTAATTGTATTATTCTTAGTTATTTAGGTTTAAAATAAATGTGCTTATAAAGAAAATTTTTATGTGTTTATATAAAGAATAACTATAGAAAAGTTTGACTGTATTTACACATATGACTCTTAATAATGTTAAGGCCATGCAAACTTAATTAATTGGTTTTCATAACTCGGCCGGGCCAAATTTTGAAACTTGTAAAAAAAAAATTTATAAGTTTTAATAACCGGGTGGGTTTTTAAAAAAAAATTTACAAAATTTTATAAAATTTATATATGAAAATTTTTTTAAAAAAGCCGGCTAGCCGGGTCTGTTCAAAAGTTTCATGTTCTGAAAACCAAGATATTTAATTTGTGTGGCCTAACACTAAGTCAATTTTTTTAAAATCAAATTTTTGCTTTATACTTTTTATATAACAAGCGCTTATACATTAACTTTCTAATTGGTTAAACTAATTAATTAAATTATTGCCTATATACAGTCTACTCTCGTTATAACGAATCCTTCGCAGTGGAGAAATCTTCTAAAAACAATTTAAAACTTTTAACATTATACTATAACGGATATTTCATTATAACGGACTTATAATATATAAAATTTTCTAGCCTTATCGCTACGTTATAACGAGGGCAGACCGTACTTAACAAATATGTTAAATACAGAATTAGTAAAAATCCTTCGTTATATATTGTATATACATTTTACACTAAAAAATCATTTTTCGGTGGTTTTTTTGAATTCATAGAAGTGAGGCCTAAATTAAGCAAAAATAGTTAGTATTCTACATGAAAATTTTTTTAAATTATATATATATATAATAAAGATGCTTAACGCTAGCTCTGCCAGCCAGGCAGGATCAATTACAGTGAGATCACGCATAAAAGCTTTGGTAGTTTCTACAACTAAATAACAAACAATAAATGAAAACTTAATTTCAGATTACCGAAGTCAAATCATTAATAGTGAATGATCTATTACCTTCATGAAAAATGACCCATGGGGCATTTCGTGTAAATAGAACTGATGTCGGATGAACATATAAAACCTTAAGGAGGAAGGAAATAATATTTATCGTAGTGCTTCAATAGAAATAAGAAGTTAAACTGAAGAGACGTACAACATTATCCCTAATAGTCCTGAAAGACCCATCTGGCATCATTTTCGCAGCCTGAGAAAAGTATCCACTAATAAGACACTTTCTTATTTTAACCGTGTCATTACCACATGATTCAAGTGGTACTTCGAATCTGTCAAGATACTTTTTTAAATGCTGACGAATAGATAATGCTCGCGAAAGCGCGCGAAAATTTAAGCAGTGTTTATGACACCACCTCGCTGATTTCTTTCCACGAGTGATAAACGCATTGAATACTTTGCAAAATAAGAATCGCAATGATTTAAGTTTGTATTATAAAATCAACTTTCCACGTATCAAATAAACCAACCGTTCAGCAATGTTATATGATCTCCTTCTTCTACTGTAAACTTCCTTTTCTCCTCATTCACATCGATGTCTGGATTAGAAGGAATTATAAATACATCCTAGATAAAATTAAATAATTGCAATTATATTAAAATTATTACACTTATATGTACATTTGCTAGTAAAACCCGTATAGATCCCAAACATAAAAGCAATCGCATTTATAATATATTTATTAAAAAAAAATCTTGATATTATGTAATATATTATATCTATTATAAGAATATATATCATTTGTTTAAATAAAGGTTATAAATAAAGCTTTGAGATATTAGTTTGCTAATGTTTGGGACTTGGGCGACAAGCATATCTGTGTGCATTTATCTCATATCACTTTACCTGAACAGATAACATTGCAGCTATAGAGAGCATTTCTTCACCGCATTGGAATTTATAGGAGTCTAGCAGCTGTAAAGATTTTATCAAAAAAAATAATAAATAAAAACAATAACTGTCAACATTAATAAGAAATAATCAAGCCGCGATAAGATTCATACAATTTTGCCAAGCATTGGGTCGACTGGAAATTCTGCCAACTGCATCCCTAAAGGCATTGTTAGCCGTCCGTGATCATCCAACGCTTTTAAAGAATATAACAACTAAAATGCTTACAAGGCATTAGGCATGATTGTTTAATGGGAATACTATAATAAATTTTATGTGTAACTTTACCTCTAATGAGGGTATCATTAGCTCCGCAGGTGGAGGTGTTAAGAAATCAAATCTTAACACGTTCTCAATGCCCAATGCTTTTAAGTGAAGCACAACTTGTGCAAGCTTGCTTCTACAACGTTCAATGTTTGTATCAACATATATACATTTATATTGGTTAACTAAAATTTACCTTTGTATCTCTGGGATACTTGCATCCTCTAATTTATAAAAAGAATCTTCGGTGTATAGCCTGTATGTTTTCCCAGGTCCAACCCTTCCTGCACGTCCAGCCCTTTGCTGAGCAGATGCTTTAGAAATTGGGCACACGACAAGGCTTTCCATTCCAGTTTTTGGATTATAAGCACGCAACTTGTAATAATCACACACATTACATTTGAACAAAAGTTAAAAATGCAGTGCATTTATCGATATGTAAATTTATTAATACATACTTTTACGAATCCACAGTCGACAACGTACACAATACCTTCAAGAGTAATGGAAGCTTCGGCAATGTTAGTCGCCACTATAACTTTGCGAGTATTATAAGGAGCGGGCTCAAAAATTTGTAATTGCTGTTCCAAATGAAGACCGGCATAAATGGGCAGTGGTAATATTTTCATTGCAGAACGCGGTAATCTATCAATAATAAAATCTTATAATTAATCAAGATTGCATAGTTAATTATAAATAACAAACTCATTACGTTGTTGCCCTTTCCGAAATTTCTCCGACAGTGGAATCAATTTCATCACGTCCTGTCAGAAATACGAGAATATCTCCTGGAGGTTGCTAATATATGACCCGATATTTTGGTGTGTAATATAAAAATGTTATAATCTCTCATCATTCTTGATGGACATGTAAACAAACCTGAGCATGAATATCAAAAACAGTCTGTATCGAAGCTTCCACATAATCAGAGCAAGAAATTTTCGAATAATGTATATCAACCGGAAACATTTTGCCTTCCAAAGATATTATAGATACATTGTCCTTGGTCGAATCATTTGTCGTATTTGTATTAAAAAATTCATAAAATGCCTCCGCATCCAATGTGGCTGAGGAAACGATAATTCTTAACTCTGGTCGCTTTTTTTGAATTCTAAATATAAGAGTCAAAATATAAGGTTAGAATAAAAATAAAATAAAATAAATTTAAGCAGTTTCGGAATAAAGCAAAATATGAGACTTTTTCAGAATTCCCAGTAAGAGATCAGTATAAAGGCTTCTTTCATGAGCTTCATCAATCATAATAACACTGTATTGTAATAATAATGGATCACCAAATGTCTCACGAAACAACATGCCATCGGTCATATATTTGATACGTGTTTTGGTTGGACTGTAGCAATCTTCGAACCGAATGCTATAACCGACCTTGAAAAATTCAGTAATTTAGATATAATATCAGAATACGCATAAATAACATAAATAGCATTGGACCTACCTCTTCACCAAGCTTCACGTTCATTTCTGTGGCTACACGATCAGCAACTGTTGTAGCTGCTACGCGACGAGGCTAAAGTTGCCAAAAATGATGCATCAAGAACACCCCTCAAAGAATTATCAAAAGTCACAAATACTTGATGGTTACCTGTGTGCATGCTACGACAAATCCATTAGCAGTCCAACCTGCTTCATTAAGATATTGTGGCAATTCTAAAGAAAAAGTATGAAATCAACATTAAGGACGATCAAATTTTATAACGTGATGAATTAAACACGCACGTGTGGTCTTTCCACAACCAGTATGTCCTACAATTATGGTTGTCTGGTACTTTTCAATCAGATACAATATCTGGTCACCTTTAAAATAAAAGTTGATTCAACAAAAATAAAGATTAAAAAGGTAAAAATGATAATAAAGATGAAAGTTAAAATTACGTGATTTATAAATCGGTAATCTTTTTCTTTGCTGCTGAATAGATAATGAAGTACCCCGGTCTACAAATGTCACGAGAGCTTCATTGGTTTCTTTTTCCGTTTCACGATCAAGATTCGTTCCTACACGCGTGGAAGTATGCGTAAAATTTATAAAATACGGTGTTATTTTTCAAAGTATGCAAACTTTTACACTCTTACCTGGTGCAATGGTTCCGGGTTTCCAAAAAGCCATAGCGATAGTGACAAGAGTAAATAAAAGGAAATCATTTTAAGGGTAGAGTACAATATATAATCTTCCCCTGCATCGTCATCAAAAAGTTCACTGACACGTGATCGGCGAAAAAACGGTTATGCCAGTGATAAATTTGAAAATTTTATAGTAAAATTACTCAAGGAATTTTTTTTGTTAGTGCGCAAAAGGTGGTTTCTTATGTGAATTTTTGAGAAATGAACGATTTTTGACAAAATTGACGTTTGTTTTGGATCTTCATGATCGTGTTACGTTACACCAAATTGCGATTCATTATTGGCTAATTGATGTCGTTCTTCACGTGACAGTGACATTTTTGATAAGGGAATTGTTACGCAAGCCTTCCAAATTTGAAAATCATGACTCAGGGTCGATCCATCCAATAAAACATGAGAAATTACTTATTATAATTGGTCATACAATAGCACGTGATGATAGCCAATCAAATTTCATAATACTATCGTGATATTTTAAATTTTTATTTTACAAATTCAAAAGATATCTCACGATGCAGTAAGTAGAATTGAATAATTTTTATACCATTCGATTTGTATAAAAATTATCAAATTCCGTTTACTTGATCATGAGATCTTAAAGATAAAATAGCCCTATTTTACTTTTATTCGTCTTTGCAATTTTTTTTCTATACACATATTTATATAAAAGGGTATTGTAATTTATCCCCTGATCGACCAATTAGAATGCAAGATCAGGTGTAACGTGAAATCGAAGCAAACATTGTCTTTTTTGATTTTGCATATGAAACCACCTCTTACGTTCTATTAAAAAAAAAATTTCTTTGCAAAATTTTAGATTAAAAATTTTATTACCTAAAGCCACATCTAACTTTAGTCTAATGCTAACCCTAGCCTTAAACTAACAAATTTTTATTATTATTTTGATTTAACATTACACATGATCTTATAAGTGGCGATACATTGCATAGGCAAAAAATTATAAAATCCTATATAAAATATTCAATAAACATATTCTTTTAGATAATTTTTATATACGTATTTTAGAATTCTAGTAGTTAAAAATTAGTATATTAACTAATAAAATAATAACTTTATTATAATATACGTAATGGGGTGTAGCGACCTAGTGAAGTGATCAGGTT